ATAATATAAAATATAAAATATATATTATACTTCGTATGTTAAAATACGGAAGCAATTTACGAAGTATTTCGTAATTTAAAATATATGCAATTAATATATTTTGCAATATATAACTGTGAAATAATCCACGAATAATCCACGTAGAATTATTTTTTCGCCAAAAAATTCCGCTACCTAACGCGGAAGGAAACGAGTTGCTGATTATTCGGAGAAAGGTAGCTCAATCCCGCGTGGTCGTGATTTGAAAAGCGCAATAATAGTCTCGGATGATTTCCCAGACGATTTACGGTCGGCGACAGCGGTGGCGGCTGCTTGAAATTCCAAAAGTTGAATTCCGAGATGAAAGAACGTCGAAGGGAAAAGCGACGTGCTATTTTATCGCGGGGACGTTGGGCACAGAAGAAAAAGTTTTATATCCGACGGAGCAAGCGGAGGATGATCTCGCTATCACCCGATTGCGTATGCAACGGCCTCGTGAGAGAAGAGACAGGTTCCGAATAGGGAAGGTGAACAAATCTGCTCTATGAGTTCCGGATAAAAGGAACGATTTGCGAATTTGCTTCCCAGCAGCAAATACGAAACCTTCTCTATCCTTGTCTCTACCCACCACCACCCGTTCGTCAGTTTGTGTTTGCTAAATAAACAAAAATGGTAGCTTACCGTTTGTAAAGATTCAGCCGGTAACTCGTAGACATTTCACGAATTACACAGCCCATACGAGTGGAATGCAAGTGGAATACGATATATTGCAACGAAATTAGGTTGCTCAGTCGGTATCGAAGAAATTGCTTAATGCGTACTGATTGCATCGTGGTAATGCAGAGAGTATCGATGACGTTGAGAGATGTTAGGAGATGAGAAAGTATTAGGAGATGTCAGTCGTGGAAGAACACTAGTTTTATGATGTAAGCAAAGTATCGAACGTATGAAATGGCGTGGTGATAATAGAGTTTGTGATGATAGAATGTAAAGTATTTGATCAGACGATAGAAGTGTGAACAGAATTAAAATCTAAAGCGTCAGAGATATGAAAGAAGAACGTTTCGATTCGGTATTTGAGACAGTGACGTAAACGAGAGTGCAGAATATGAAGCACAGTTCTGATATCCGAATGTGCTTAGGAATGGCTGCATAGGATTGAAAATGATTAAGTATTGTTGAAAGAAGCTTGTAAGTACATGCAAGGAAATATGAACGAGAAAATGCGTGGCACAGTTGAGGTTAGGTTAAGCTAGGTTTAACCCCTATGGATACTACAATTAGTTGGATATTAAAATTAGTCTGTAAATAATCAGCAGTAATTACTCATAGAGTGATCGATATGTATTGAGTCGAGTGTAATAAGAGGTATCATTTTTATTGAGTTTATAATCATGACAGGTTAACCTATTACGCCATAAGTAACTTGCACTACAGTAAAATTCATACAAATTCCCAAAACTTTTATAATTTTATCACGAACAAGATAGACATGTAGTGTCTAATTAAAATGAAGTTAATTGCAGTTTTATTTAACTATATTTATCAATTTATTGAATTAGTGGCCTCACTCGCTTACTAAATCTATTTATTTCCTGTAATAATTTAATCTAAAAATTTATTCGTTATCTTCATTTTCGAATATATTTGAAAATTTTAATGACTCATTTTTCGAATATATCGATACTTAATTTCGGTGTCAAATTTTATAATAAAGTAATAGTAATAGAAATAAATAGTACAGTAATAAATAATAAATTATGTAAAAATATACGGAAAGTCTTTTAATTTTACGCTCCGTTTAACTTTTTGACGAATATCTCAAAATTAAAATCCAAACACGATATTTTGATAGCACTATGAATACTATATTATTTTGTAAAGTTTGTTATAATGTGATTTATAACTTCAAAAATCTACTTTTTAAATCTTCTTATGTAAAAATCTGTTTCATTCTCGAAAGTTTTACCACTCCGTAATAAAAAATACAGTGACTCTTGAAAGTTTTAAGGCGGAACTACTGATAAGTCTGTATATCTCTTCATACCTTACCATGTACTTCATGCTATTCCTTTTATTCTAAGGTTTAATATTTTTGATACATTTGCAAATCTAAAGAAACCATATTTCTCTGGTGTATTTCTTTTAATATTAAACAAACGAACACAAAAATTATGTAAAATGGAAATACGTACAGAAAAAAATATGTTAATACGACTATTTCAAAATTTCTACGAAATTCGAT